GTGCGACCTGCAGTGCCAGCGCCTGCTGCACGCGCGCACGGTGCGTGCCTCTCCGCCCTTCATTTAATCCTGCACTCGACGGCACTGCAGCTATACAGCCACGAGCGGCTCGTTTTTCTTTCTTCAATATTGCGCCAACGCATTTTCCCTGCTCCACATCCGCGAGTCCCCACCGTGTCAACTTGCTGCACAAACTGCCATTTTGTAACGTGCGTCTCAAGCTCACGCACGAAAACGAAAAAAAGGGAACGGGACTGCGGGAGGGAGCTACCTACAGCTGCCACTTCCACGGCTCCCTATTGGGGGCTGCCTCTCACTTGCCTCTCGCTTTCTCATGCGAGACCTTGAGTCGCCACGTCAAACAAAAAAAATTATGCAAGTGTAGCTTTGCTTAGCATAGTCTCCACGACCACGAGCTGCTGCCAGATGCAGTGCCTCGCCAATGCCGTCTTCGTTGCCCGGGAGGGCGTAGGGGGCGAGATCTGACGGTGGCAGGGCTTTCGACACTAGATACAAAGCTAAACTTTCTCCTCGGATAGCGGAAGGAACAATTAAAGAAAAGGCGAAAGTCTGATTTTTGTTCAAATCTCAGATTTTTCAAGTATTTTAAATTTGTATTCTGTACGTTCCTACAACTACAGTACCAAAGATCGATATTTTCCCCTGAACGGAATCTGTTGTTCAAAAACACATGAACAATTTTTCGTAAATTTAAGTCATTTTCGTGTAATTTTGGGGGAAATGTATACGATTTTTAAACAATTATTTTCTCAAGAGCGGCTCCAAATGTTTTTTTAAAAATAGTCTTGTGGTATGTATCAAATTACAGTTCAAAATTTGTGAACTGTCTATATTTTGGAAATTAAAAAAAAAGAACATAACAAAAGTATAAAATTAAAGAAAGATATTTTTATGTTAAATGAAATTGATATGAAAAATAAATTTTAAAAAAACGCTAGACGTTGTGCCGTAGTATTTGTGCTTTACGATGAGTGCTTGCGTGCGCGAGGGGCGTTGAGTGGAGGGCTTGGATGCGTAGGGAGGGGGCGTGGCGTCGGCGACGGAGTCGCGCGCGTGCCAGTGCGAGGCGGTGGGCGCGGGCGCGGGGGTGGAGCCGTGCGTGTGCCCCGCCCCCGCTGCAGCCCCCACTTCCGCCATCACTTCCGTCTCCACTGCCGTCCCCACTGCCGCCCCCACTTCCGCCCCCACTTCCGTCCCCACTTCCGCCCCCACTTCCACCCCCACTGCCGCCAAGCACGACAAGTGCGTGGACGCGTGCCCGCTGTTCGCGCACAGCCAGTGCCAGTGCCCCGACGAGCACGACTGCCCCGAGTGCCCCCCGCAGGTGCGCACCTCCTCCTCTCCACTCTTACTCACAAAGCAAAAAGTCTCGCCAGTTATCACGCACAGTCTGAAATGTCATCATATTACGTCAGTCAACAGGCTGGGTTTGAGCTTCTATTAATAGAGATTTAATTAAATTAACATTGGTTTAACATAAGAAGTTATTAAGACACGAACTCGATAAGAATAAATGTGAGTTTTTCGAGATTGTGTTGCGCAGGCTTTCAGAGGCGCAGCGTTTGCGTCCGTAACGTTTCCCGGATCCAGCATCCTGGGCTTAAAATGCTCTCATTATGAAGAGATACAAAACTATTTTGGGAGATATCTAATGACGTTGACAGATTTATCAAGTAAAGAACATAGCTAGTTTATTTATTTATTTACGTCAAAAACAGTTAAAAACAGTGTGTGAGTGCAATGAGGAAAACTTAAATTGAAGTTAACATTTGTTGAAATGCATTGATTTAAAACTATAAATGTGGCTTTTTTTTCATGAGAAAACTTGTTTATTATTTGGGATGCACATTGTGGAATTTGAATTTGGAAGTATGTGCGGGCGTGCGCAGCGCGAGGTGGCGCTGGCGGGGGCGGGGGCGGAGGAGGAGCAGGAGGAGGAGGAGGAGGTGGTGGAGCTGGAGTGCATCTCCGTGGACTGCGCCGAGGCCGCCGCGCTGGTGAGCCCCCACTCAGACGTCCACTCGCGGACGACAATTGCCCCTACGCACCTAAAGCTAAGAGAATTGTCCGAACGACTGCAGCACCGCTTGACTGGGTTTACTTCGTGCGCGCTTGGTAGTACATCTTTTCGTGCCTATTCGTGAAAGTAAAATCATGTGGATGTTATTAACGTACGGAGGGTACATTGGAGCAAAGTGCTGAAACAAGTGGATACCTTCCTTAATATTTGACGAGTTGTTCAGAGACGTCATTTTCATTTGTTCAACGATGGTGGCGAAGGAAACAAGTCTGTGCGGGGCGGAAGAACCCGCCTTGGCCGAGGAGGCTGCCGCTTGCCAAAAGTGTTGAGGTGTGGGGCCCCAGGGACGGAAGTGCTTCGTTGGTGGACGCAAGCGAGCGCTGGAGAGGGCGAGGGGAGGGGCCTGGCAGGCGGCTGCAGCTCCGGGCGCGCTTACTTGTCAAGGAAACTAATTTGCATTTTGTCTTTATGAACATGCACCCTGTAACACGAATATTCAAGTAGCATTTCTTATTAGCCGGCAACGAGTGGCGCCAATGGTGCGAGTGGAGCTGCTGAGGGAGAGCGCGTGCGCAGATGGCGGAGGTGATGACGCTGCGCAAGGAGCGCGAGCAGGTGGCGGCGCGGCTGGCGGAGGCCGACGCGCTGGAGGCGGCGCTGCTCGACACGGTGGAGCGCCTGGCGGCGGCGGAGGCGGCAGCGGCCGAGGCCGGCGCCCTCCGCGACAGGTCCAACGCACACTTTGGGACACCACATAGCGCACGCCAAGATGCTAAGTTGCTAGAGGGTTTGATTTTGCCTGGAGAGGCCAAGTGCCTCTCCTGGGGTCTGTTTCACGTGCCGACAAGCGTCCACTTGCATGCCGTCGATTTTTCCACCTCAAAAATCCCCCGACTTTGACCGGGTTTGGACCCACGAACTTAGAATCAGAAGCCCGTCGTGGTAACAACTATACTATCGAAGCTGGTCGTGTACTGTATTCACTTCCGTAACTGCTTGTATTTTAACAAATTAAGATTTAAATCAAAAAGGAAAGTACTGTTGCAGTTCGATCAAATTATTCCAGGAAGTAATAATTGTGATCCAGAATTTGATGTGCTTAAAGTCTTGGTTAGATATAGTTTAAAGGAAATACATTTTTTAGATAGGAAGGTCTAATGATGCAGCATGCAGCGTCACTCGCTTCCTTAGAGCAGAGGATGTTTTTCCTTCGTTGGGATTTGTGGATTTAGAATTTTGGTATCGTTTGGGAAAAGGCGAGGTTCCTAAACTTATTTCCGTGCAATCATTTGAAGCGCTAGAATAGTTTATGAAATTTTATCATTATTGACTTTCAAATACACTTGGACATCGTCATTCTGCATATTATTTGATAATTCATTCAACAATATTCTCATTAGCTACATTCTGCGTAGTATTTAATGAAATGAAATGTTTTATGAACTTTACTCGCTTGCAATCATTACTTAAATATACATTTTAACAGCTTATGATTGATAATGTTTGCTTGAAATAATTCATATAAAAAATTGGGATTTAAATCAGTGATCAAATCAAATTATTTTTAAAATTCTTACGAAATATTATTGCTTTCGCACATAAAAGTGACGATAGACATTGCATCATGTAATATGTGTGTGTTGATGCTGAACATAACTGTTAGCTTCCTGCTTATTGTCCGTTGGCCGTTGCGCTTCCCAAGAGTACGCGTCGGGTGGGTGAGCTGATGCGGGCGTGTGGGGCGTGGCGCAGGGTGGCGCTGCTGGAGCGCGAGCTGGGCGGCAAGGGGGCGGGGCCGCTGGGGGAGCGCGAGTGCCGCCAACTGCAGGAGGAGCGCGACCAGCTGCTGCGCATCAAGAGCCAGCTGGAGGGCGCCGTCGCCGACCAGGAGGAAGAGATCGGGCGACTCACGGCGCTGCTGGACCGCCTCACCTCGCGCCGCGCCTCGCAGGTCCACCCCCGCTCCCTTTGGCCTCTCCGCACGCGAGCACACAACTGCCCACAGCCGTTGCTGCGGTGCTCGCGGCGCTGACGCACGAATCCTTCCTTTCCCACGGTTAACGGCCACGCTCCCTGCCTTCGATTGCAGCGCGTCTTTACCTGGAGAGGCCTCTTGCAATGGGAGCGAAAAAGACAAAATCTCCTTTTATATGATAGAGGTTTTTTAAAAGAAACTTAATATATTTATTGTGTTCATGAGGTTATGCCCGTTTATTAGGAAGTATCCTGCCATAATTTCGTACTCATGGTGGTGCTTTGAAATGGGGTCTTCCATTTGGCGTCTCGTTTATTAACTAACGAAATAAGTATCTTCGCCCGCGTTCTAAAGTTCTGTTCGGCTGAATAATTGAAGTTAATTTCATGGCATCGTTTCGCCGAGTGTGTTCTTTTGAGTCGTGATCGGCCGTGTTCGGTCGAATACGCGTTGAGTCTAACCGCTGCCCAACTGTTCCTGAGAGTTCTCAATTCCATTCCATCGGAATTCACCGTTCGTCGTCATTTCGTGTGAAAACTGCAAAGCACTCCTTGATGCATTGGATCGAGGTGATTTTTTTCTTCGCTGGGCGATGAGTCACCTCAGGAGATTAATGCAAACAATATCCACTACGCGTGTGGACCAATTGTATCTTGAAAGAAGCGCACCCCAAATTCCTTCTACTACTTCACCCTTGAACCCCTCGGGTGGCTCGTCTGTTACCGTGCTCGCTTTCCACGGCGCAGCCCGACAGGCAAATTATAACTGCGTGCTTTCCTTGCTAATGTGCCGGTATCTGTTGCTGTGCGTCGGCGAGGAAGCTCGCCGTAAGGGTTGGAAGAGCGGTGTTGACGGCGGAGGGAGGTGTTGGTGGTAACCACGCGAATCCCTCGCCAGGCATCGGAGGCTGGGCTGTGAAGCCAGAGGATAGGGCAGGACTGCATGTCCGGCTCATAGTGTAGTGGTGTTGGTGGCGGTGCGCAGGTGGCGGGCGAGGCGTCGGAGCGCGAGCGGCGCCTGCAGCAGGAGCTGGGCGCGGCGCGCGCGGAGGCGGCGCAGCTGCGCGCGCAGGCGGCCGAGGTGGCGGAGCTGGAGTCGATGGCCGAGTGCCTGCAGACGCGCATGGACGCCGCCGCCGACCACCTCGCCGACATGGTGGACGCCGAGGAGGCGCACGCCGACGACCGGCTCGCCTTCCTCTCCGGACAGGTGAGCACGCGAATCCTAATTACATTTCTTACGCACAATTCAACACATTGAGGCCTTTTTGGAACTTTGTATTGCATTCCTGGGGATTTCCTTCTTTTGGGTGCTGTCTAAGTACGGGTAGTTAGGAAGAGCAGAAACATGTTTTGCCTGAAAAAATAAGTACAAGGAGAAGGCAGAAACCATTTTGCACGATACACCTAAAGTAACGAATGACTCGGGGATAAACTGATGTCACTGCAGCGCCTGTGTCTTAGGGTTACTCTCCGGAAGGGTGGGACTTTCCTCTCAAGCTCCACAGCGAGATCGTATTCGCCTCATGATTGGAGAAGAATTCTGTCGGCCGGCTGCTCTGATCGGTAGTTTTCCGTGGTTTCTTCGATGAACACCAGGAGAATTCCCGCGCACTACCCTAACAGAGGGCCACGGACCGCGCGCGATCTTTTCTGCCTCTTCCTTGTCGTATCGCCTCCCCTTACACACAGTTACACTCACACGCCCTACATCGGAGAACATACTAGGGTGGGTCACTGATGGCACTGCAGTGCTTCTGAGCGAAAGGGCCCTGGGTGCTCTAGCTACGGCTTAAAGCCTTCAGTCTTGAACTAGGTGAAATTCAGCCGCTGTCTGTAGCAGAATTGTAGCGGCCGGCTGCTCTGATCGGGAGTTTGAAGTTTTTTATTGATTGATTCGGGAGCCGGTGGGAGGTGGGTGGTTGCGGTGTAGCGGAGCTGGCGTGTGCGCAGCTGGCGGCGGAGAAGGCGCGCTCGGAGGAGCTGGGGGCGCGGCTGCGCGCGCTGGAGGGCCAGGCGTCGGGCCAGGCGTCCGGCAAGGCGTCGAGCGACGCGTCGGTGGCCGCCTCCATGCTGCCCCCGGAGGCCGAGGCGGCGCTGGAGGAGGCGGCGCGCCTGCGCCTGCAGCTTCAGGACGCGTTGCGCGAGCGCGACGAGCTGCGCAGGCAGTGCGACGCCGCCGCAGGTAACAGCCAGGCGCAGCGCATGCGTAGATTATTATTATTATTATTATTATTATTATTATTATTATTATTATTATTATTATTATTATTATTAGTATTACTATTATTATTATTATTATTACTATTATTATTACTATTATTATTCACATTCCAGGATCTATCGATGGTGATATCAAAATCGGCTCATTCCCTTATTTACCAGAATTAACTTTCTTGCAGTGTTGGTAAATGCGGGATGTTCTATATGATCTCACGTAGGAATGTATTTCATATCCAGTATATTACCGCCTTCAAAGTGTCGAGAATATTCTCCACTCATATCAAATCGCATGTTTACAGAAGATCTTTTTTGTTTCCCCTGTGAGACTATCGCAAATGGAATGAGCTTGTTTTCTTATCTTATTCCTGATCTAAAGCATTGTTTTGTGTTTATGACTAATCGTGGAATTCAGAGATCTCAGTACTGGGAAGATTCGATTTAGAGTTCAGTTTACACGTCGGCTTTGAATTCGTCAGAACTTCATTTGTAACGACGTTGAGGGTTGTCACACACGATGCACTCGCTTTACAATCTAAGTAACTGTCATCAAGAATGATCACGAGGTCAAGATACTTTCATTTTATTTAAATTGGCACCAAACAGTAGAAATTGTGGACATGCGTGAAAAGACAGTGAGTAAAGCGATAAATACTACAGTCATGTAAGTGCAGCCAATATACGATATCAAGAAATGTGCACAACTACCTTAAAGAAGCGAAAGAAAACACGAAATCCGTCCTATCCCGGAAAAACGAAACTAAGAATTCCTAAAGCAGAGTAAATGCTCCAACAGTAATAATATCACCTCAGGCTTTTGCGAAAACGTGTGCGATTTCTGTTGTAAAACTGGTACATCAACCTCATCAGATGTAATTTTGATATGAAAAATGCATTCACATTTTGAGAATTTGATTCCATGATTTTTGTTGGGCAGTCAAATGTCGAGTGAAATTGTTATCAAATTAATATCACTATATCTGCAGCGTTGTATTGTTCATGGAGTGCCCTGCAGATTTCTCTCTTTGATTATTCTGCATACAACTTAACCAGAAATACCTTGTTTAATCATTTACTTGTGTTGGTTCCTATTAGTATTCTCTTTCCTTACTCTCTGCTACATATTCTGTAATTTGTGACAAAAATGGAATAAATATGAAGGAGAAAGTTGGCAACGCTTCCACCACGGTTCCGTCATGTTACTCTTCATATTACTCCTTCAAACCAGATCCTTCTTGGCCTAATAAATGTTTAGTCATTGGACCCTTTTTTTCGCGGTGTCGTCTGTAGTATCCGCCATTAAACTAGTACTGTTCGCCTGATTAATGAGGAAGGCTGCAACCAAGAGAGCGTATACACGCACGTGTGTTGCGGGTTGCGTAACGACGTTCGGCAGGGGCGCCTGCCCGTCGCATGTTGCATTGCTTCCAATAGCAGTTTGTGCTCTTTGCCAGGGGCGGATTCAGAGACAAATTTCGGGAGGTGAAATTAAAAATGTTTTGATTGAAAATGTCATATTATCGATTTTGTAAAATATCGCTGACTACACTCAGTTCATGCTGTGATACGATTTTATTCGTTTTAATGTTTATCCGAATATATTTTCGTTTGAAAGTTTCGTGACAAGTTGAAAATAATAGTTACTGGAAAATGTAGGGGCGGATCCCCCGTGGATCCGCGCCTGCCTTTGCCAACAGACTTCCTCTCCCCATCCAATCAGGCTTTTCGTCTAGTATCCGTGACCCGTGGAGAAAATGATTGTTTCTTCAATATGCGCACGTTTGGTTGAGCTCTCCTTTTGTTGTGGTAGGAGTACTGGTGAGGGTGTTAGTTACTATTTTCATATGAATACTGACAACTCGAATCTGTGGTTCATTAACAGATACAAATAAGATTTCTTGAACTCTTGAGCAAATAAGTTCATTTTTAATTAACAAAAAGAAATTTTTTTTTTGATAGTGTTACTGGATTTACAAGAACATGGATAAAAACGCTGTGAATTACAAAACCCTCTTTCAGACATTTACATCAATCTTTAAAACTTGATCCGTTAGATCACTCGATAATTAAACCAAATTATGTTATGAAAAAAAATTAAACAAGTATTCTAGTAAAAAGCTATTTTTTAACACGTTGACTGCCAAGGTGTGTTGATGATCTGCTCCGCAGCGTCTGTCATTGTTTACACGGTATTTTGCTGTTTTTAGCGTATATTATTATAATTTTCGTATACTTAAAATTTGGCATCATTATTTTCAGTGTGGGTGGCTGAGTGTCGGATGTGACCCCCATGACACTTTTATGATGCATTTGCTATCTGACCCCATGAGGGACATAATTGGGATTCACATCGTTTTGTTTTGATTTTTAATTGAAACCAGATTCCGCTGAAAAATGTTGAAAATTAAAACTATGTTAATCCTTTTGACAATTATTAATGCTAACTTATCATCCAATTATATTAAAAATTAATGAACTGAGAATAACAATGTTACTATCTCTCTCCTGTGCGTTAGTTCTCCTATTTTGTTTCGTTTTTACGGCATTCTTCGGATCGCCCTTCCTATTGCTTTGCAATGTACCCACTAAGTGAGTACCTGCTTTCATAAGCTCTTCCTCTAAATGAACGCTACTGTACTATCTATGAACAGCGAGTGTTTTGCCGAGGTGTAAATAGGGCTCTCACAGCTCCATTACAGTGTGGCCTTGGTTTTCCCTGCAGTCTTTTTCGGTGCAGCGTAAAGACTGCACTGGCGCGTGTAGTAATCGAATGTGTGAAGTTTGAAAACTTTTAGTCCATATTTGTGACGTTTACTTGTTTTGTATTGTCTGAATATTAATCTTCCTGGAAAGAGGACCCTAGTTTCGTCTATACATATCACCAAATGTCCAGTTGAAACATTTTCATTGTTACCATAGTGAAACATTCGAAGATGCGGTTCTAATCTATTCCTTGGCATTGCATCTCGTACTGCATTAGTGTAAATAACTCTACTATTCTGCCAGTAGCAAGCTGTAGGGGGAAGATTGACCAGCCCCATCCGCAAATCAAAACCTAAAAAAATTCTCCATTTCTGCTCTGTTTGTAGAGATCCATTTAGACAAACCCATTGTAATCCGAGAGCGTTCCCAATATGCCTGACTAGCGTATCCGTCTCCGTAATTAAAACATCTAGCGTGTCGTGAGGTAAACCATCAAAAAACGTTTCTATGATATCCGCATTTATACCAACTTCTTCATTATTTGGATTGTACACTATTTGGCATATATGCTGGGTAAGATATCCCCACGATAAATCAAATCATACCCCGTTCAAAGTATTTAGCTAATTATCAGATTCATCAGACGAGAAATAAAGCACACAGGGTGCATCATGCATAGGTAAATCAGACATGATTTCATCATCAGTAGTAACATTAGCATTAGCATTGTCATTAGAATTCTCACTATACTCATTACTTAATGAGTACAAATCCTCACTCCTATCCGAAAATCGCTTTTCATCACTTTTGTTGAGCAAATATAGTCACTCCTCGTCCAATGCTACTTGAAATAAAATTGATGCAACTACAATGACTCGGCGAGAAAGTATACTATATGAATAAAACTTTCTGTACTTCCGATACCAAATCATATTTAAAATTACAATTTATTCTTCAATTTTACATTGTACATAAAATGTTTAAGGTATCGTAAAAAATCTAAGGTAAATATTTAAAGTACATATTACAAAAAATATTTAATACTTTAAATTATGATACAACAATGTTACGGCCGTAATTGTGTTCCTGGGCGTCTTCCCTATTCAGAACGTATTTGATTTCAATGCTAAATGAGGAACAAATCGGAAGCTCAAAGCCTGAAAAACAAGACAGCATTGAGGGTCAATATTGGTCCTCAGACTCTCGGAAGCCTAAAGCATTGAGAATCGTATCTGACCCTCACGGCAGTCAACGTGTTAATGACTTTTTTGTGGCCTGAAATGGATATGCGTGGAAGTTTCGTATGTTGCGATTTAATTTTTCTTCCTGCTAAGACTGCTAAGTACAAAGGAAGTGCACTAAGCTCGTGGATGGCCTCGCAGGAGCAAACATTGGCCTTGGCCTCTTGATGACGTAAGGAGGTGCGTGTGTGGCAGCGTCGGGGGCGCTGCCGGCGAAGGCGTCGGCGGCGTCGGCGTCGGGGCGCTGCAGCCTGTGCGGGGGCGACTGCCCGGCCGACGCCCCCGCGCTTAGCCCCGCAGAGGCCCAGGCCCGCCTGCGCGCGGTAACACCAACACCCCCACCCCACCCCACCCCACCCCACC